GGGGGGGGGCTCCTCATTATAATTGTAGTATAAGTATCATGTAGCCCAGCCCTATTCTAATTATTAAGGCGCTTATATGAAGGACTAGTTTCAATTTTTAAAACTTCCGAGTTTGAGGGTTTACAGCTTAGGGTTCAGGGTTTAAGTTTTAAGGTTTTGGTTGATGGTTTAGGGTTTGGGCTTCGGGGTTACATGGCTTTGGATTTGCATCTAAGGATTCCTGTCAAGGTTCTAGGGTTCAGGCTCTAAGTGCTAAGGGAACTAGGGCCCCTGATGTAAAACAGATCCCCATTATCATCCCTGCATGGGCAAGCGATCAAAGGCTTAAGCATGGCCTGAAGACTTGATGATTTGTGGGGGTCTCACGGCTCGGTGTCAATCCACCAAAAGCCTACCTCTCAATTATCCGTTTGCTCGTTATGGTTTACTGTTTGAGTCCTTACAAGCGTATATAGGCTTTCTGAATTCAGGTGGGGTTCAGGGTTGAGAACGTGGGCCAAGGTGTTTAGAGTTAACGGCTTTGGAATTTGGCAAGTTTCGAGTTTAGGGCAAAAGCTTCGGGACCGTTCAGAAAGGCGTACCTAAACGGGTTGAATCCCTACTAATTAAACGCTGACTACGGCCTGGATGGCTTCCAGCACACGAATGCAAACTCCCAGCCCATCGTAAATCCCCAAATCGCCGATACAAGCCATAAGCCCTCATGCCAAACTCCCATTAACGAGCCTCTAAACTGCAAGTGCTACACCGCTGTATTCCGGAGTCTTGATTCTAGCTCCCCAAACCCAAAACCATGTAACCCCCTGCTGTAACAATAAACTATAGTCGTAAGCCGTTACGCGCGGTAGGCTTGAGCTCTAAACCTTACACCCTCAAACCTTACACCCTCAAACCCAAAACCCTTAAACCTGCAGCCTGAGTTCTGAACTGCAGAACCTGCATAGAACCTTGAATCGAACACTTCGAATTCCCGAACCCCGCCGAAACCCCTTCCAGACACCCTAAACTCCCTAAGCCCAAAGTTCTAAGCCCTAAGCCCTTAATCCCTAAACCGAAACCTTCAGCCCTCGACCTAGACCCTGAACCCTCTGAACCCGAAATCCTTAAGCACAAAACCCTCCGTCCTTAAACCTCAAAGCATCAAACCCTGGACCCTAGTCCCTTGAAGCACCCATGATGCGGTTGATGATATAAATCCTGCATTACCTTAAGGACCCTAAACCAAGGGATTCATGGTATATTCCTTATTCTGGGCAATGCAGGGTTTATATCATCAACAGTAGTGATGCAACATCATAAACCCACGAAGACCCTTGTAAACCCCACCAAGAATCCCCGAACCCTCAAGCGTGTAAACCGTCCCCCCAAATGACCTTTCGCCATGCCGCTGTGGCGCGTGGTCGGGGGGCGGGGGAGTGGCGGCCTCCTTGCCAGAGAGGCTGCGGCGCTGCTGTTTGTGTGGTTTAGGGCGTAGGGTTTAGGGTGTAGGTTTCTTGTTGTTTTTTTTGGTAGGGTCTTCATAGGGTGTTGACATGATTTCTATAGGGTTGTATGTTTGGGGGGCTGTGCGGTGTAGGAAGGAGGGTTTCAAAGGTTAGTTGGAGCATCGGAGTTTGATGGTTTAGGGTGCAGCTTTGAGGATTTGCTGACAGTGCTTTGCGCAGCATGCGTGGAAAATACAAGTACGGAGATATAATATATGTTAATTTTTAAATGTATTATGCATATGTATAAATATGTGTGTGTGTGTGTGTGGATGTTGTCCTGATGGTGAGGAGCTTGCGATTCAGGGGTTCGTATGCTGGTTCACGGTTTAGGGTTGTTTAGGGAATTGAACTTCAGCGGTTAGAATGTCTTTGGGTATAACTCTGTTACTGGCAATGGTGATAGTTATGAGTCCGAAAACACTAGTCCTGCTATGCTACTTAACGAAGATAATGAAGACAGAAGCGTATACACATGTATACATAGATGCACATAGATGTATATGCACATGTGTGCATGTGTATACTGTGCATAGAAGTTGATGTTCAAGCTGAGACACAGTCCAAGCAGCTACGTCAAGCCAGACGAGTACATGCATACATGTACGCACAAAAATACATAATTATAACTATAAATATAAATATTAATATAAATATGAATACGTATATATATATATAGAGAGAGAGAGACATGTTTCCTCATCTTTACAAACCATTTAGGCCAACATCATTCAGAGTTAAAGGTTGCCTTCAAGTTTTAAGAAAATTATCCCCAAACCATGATGAAGGCCGACACCGAAACGATACTTGCCGAGACTGCTGTTTCTTCATCCGATGTTTCCTCTACTGCAGTACTCCGTAACCTGAAACCCCACATCCAAAACACACCAAACTCCGACCCTTTAAACCCTTACTTCTCCAGGCCTCAGCCCCTAAACCCTAAACCCTGAGCCCCTAAACCCCTAAACCCTAAACCCTTAAACCCTGAACCCTTAAACCCTAAACCCTAAAATCGTTGCCAGATGCCTGGCCAGGGTCAAGCTCTGACTTCCTCCACCCTAACGCCTCGGCTTGGCACCGGCGCAGTCGTGCGCGAGGCCCGGGCTGCGAAGGGTAATATAGGGGCCTCAATAGTTACTGATACTATTTTTTGGGGGCTCCTTCGTTATATTTATGCTATAAAGGATACCCAAGCCCTATTTTAATTATTGAGGCCCCTACATTAGGCATGAGTTTTGGTTCAGGGTTTAGAGTTCAACTTAGGGGGCCTGAAGCGTTCCCTTGCTTTTTTAGTGTTTATAGGGTTTCGGGTAGTATCTGCGTATGTATGTACATATATATATAT